TCCGGCGTGGGCTGCGCTCACGGTGGCCCTGCTCCCTCCGCCAGGCCGCCCGCGTGCCGCTGGACCTCAGCCCTCGGCTGGAGGAGGCGCTGGACTTCGGGGAGGTGGACGCAGAGCCCAGTGAGGGGGAGGACTTCGAGGCGCGTGGGAGCCGCTTCTCCAAGTCTGCGGAGGAGAGACAGCGCATGCTGGTGCAGCGCAAGGACGACCTCCTGCAGCAGGCGCGGAGGTGAGTCGGGGCTCCGGCCCGCCCTGGTCCCGCTCTCGGGCCAAACCCTCTGCCCCGAAGGCCGCGTCAGGCCCACGCGGCTTTGTGGGCGCAACACGGGAGAACCGTCGTGTGTCACCTGCACGTTCGGGTGTCAGATCTCTGGTGAGAGCCCGGGCGGCTGGTGCCGTGGACAAGCCGGAGGCGCTGGCGCTGGGGTTGTCTCCTGCAGACGCCTCAGTCACCCCGAGGGAGAGAGCGTTCGCGTGCGGGTGCTCCACGCCCCGTGTGCCCCACCTGATCAGCTCTGCTATGCCCATTCCGTTTGACAGACTTAAAGCTGCAGCGACTGAGACGTAGGGAGGGTCCCAGCGGCCTGTGCCCAGCCCCACAGCTGCTGCAGCGCGGCACCGTGGAGTCCAGAGCTGCATTTCAGCTCCAGGGCCAGGGCCGGGGCCAGGGCTGCGTTCACACGAGGGTTTGGTGCCAACAAGGCTGGAGGGACGTGTGAGTGGGGGTGTCTGTGTGGGGTGTGTGTATATGTGGTGGGCGGCGTGAGTGCCAGGGGAGGGGCGTGAGTGCCAGGGGAGGGGCGCGAGTGCCAGGGGAGGGGCGTGAGTGCCAGGGGAGGGGCGTGAGTGCCAGGGGAGGGGCGTGAGTGCCAGGTGGGTGGGATGTACATAGCCCAGAGGAGCGAGAGGAGAGCTGAGCAGCCCTTGAGGGGCTTCTGCCGCAGGGACCTTACCCCTGTGGGGCGAAGTGCCTTGTGCGGGTGCTGCGGAAGGACAGCTTCCTGGAGATGCCGGGAAATGGGGTGATCCAAAGTACACAGACTCTGTTCCAGCGCGCCCTCATCTTTCATGCGAGCCCTTTGTTTTTTGTAGGCGGTTCTTGAGCAAAAGTTCTGAAGAGGACTCAGCCCCCGAGAGCTGCCCCCCCGCCGAAGGCGCCCCCTCGGACCCGGTGACCCTGCGCCGAAGGATGCTGGCGGCGGCGGCCGAGAGGAGACTGCAGAAGCAGCAGGCCTCCTAGCGGCCGCGGGGCGCAGCGCCCGGGAGCCCGGCCGCGACCGCGTGGCCGCTGCGCAGACGTGGTCTTAACGAGTGTTCGGACAGCTGACGAGTTTAGTCCCGTTTTGTAATACTTTCTGTGTGCCCTTTCTCTCCCCTTTCGAGACACTGCGCATTTAACTCCAGGCACGCTCTCCCCGGCTGGCTGGGCCCGCGGGCTGGGGAAGAGGCGGGGCCGCCGGGCGCCAGCAGACCCTGCACTTTGGGCTCCGACAGCAGGAGGGTGCGCGGC